GCCAAGGATGATTCTAAGTATGTTGCCTTGATAAATGTAGGTTACTGAGTTTTCCATTGATAAATCAATTTCCTTCATTTTAGGACAAAACTACACTACAGGGACTTGTTTTACTACTTTCGAACAAGAATAACTCGGTTATTTCAATAGTGCTGCAAGTATATTTAAAACTTCAGACTTCTGATTTTAGACCTTAAAAATCATATCTGGTCAACCAGGTGGCATTGATGCTTTGCAATCATTATTGGGATTACGTGAACAGCTAAATGAACTGATTAAACCCAATAAATCTAGTGGAAACGAAGCCTCTCAGCCCTTCTCTAGGAACGCTGAGGAACTTTTATCTTTGCTTAACTGCTCCAATAGACAAGGTCCTCCCAGACCCATAAAAACTAATCCAGAAAAATCACACCCCACCTTCAGACCGAAGAATGTAGTTTTGCAGCTCAGAGGAATAACAGACGAGGTAACTTTTCATGAATACGTAACCTCAGGTTCTTCACTCACCTTATACAAGTTTCGTAACCATATTTGTGTGCTAGGGCCACCTAATTTGTTGTCATTGTCTAGATAAGTCAAAGCATAACAGTTGAACGCTTATAAGTACGCAGCATTGGCGTACAGGACTCTTGTGTCATATACTCTTTGTCAGACAATTTTATTTTTAAAATGACTAAATAATATTTATATATTTAAACCTAAGCAGGGTCGTAGAGTCGTCTTCTAAGTAGCTTTTCGTTACAAACTATCTTATTAAGGCCAGTTGAAAGACTTCTGTTAATAAGTATACTGGTTAATGTCTCTGAACTTCAAGAGAGAATAAATTCTAAACTATAGGCTTCTGTTTACTCTGGCGTGAGTCTTGATAACTTCAAAGTACATTTGAAAAGCGTTAGTATAACTCAGTGACTGGCCATACCCTTATATCTGACACTAGGACACAATTATCTGTAAGTAGTTGCCTACTGTACAACTGTAATTCAAACCCATTATCTATGAGACGGATATTTGTGTTATTTGGTCACGACCTTAAGGATCGAAGAGGCAATATAACTAAATTCAAAAAATAATTTCATTCAGTAGATTTACTGGTCTTAGGTTCATAGAAGTCCATTGTTGCTGGTTAGTGTCAACAAAATAACTATAATCAGTAGTACAAGTCCAGGATTTTCCCAAAATCAATCAAAATTGCGTAAAGGGTTCGTTTTTCATATGCTTAGTTTTAGTAACAAGTGATTCTCTTTTTCCCCATCTTCACTCTTTCAGCGTTTCTCTAAATTTTGTCCTCTACAAGTTTTCACATAACCCTATATTTTAGCTGTTTCATCTCGTTAGCAACTTTGTCCAGTATGATTTTTTTCAACTGCCCTGTTTGTATTTGTTCGTCATCACAATCAGGAAAAAATTGGAACAGATGAGTGGGATTTTATGAGGTAGTTAGCATGAGCTAGTTTTAACAAGCGGACTGTACTTAAAACCTTTAACGGGTGAATATTGTTATTATGTCTTGGAATAACAGATTTATGTGTCCACATATGTTCTTGAATGTTGGGGTGTATACATACGTACAGTTCAAAGCGGATTAAACTAACAAACTGGTGTTTTATTCTAGACATCTCAATAAAGGAGCACCTAAACAAGATGTTGACCTGAAATTCAAGGCATAAGAAACTATATAGCTTCTCTGAATATTTCAGCCATATGTCAAGTTTGTTTTGCCAACCACATTTTGTAGTTGTCTGGTTAGCCTTATTTCAAAAATACTACAAGAAATTAAAGTGAAATATTGTTTTTCATACATTTTATTAGTCCCAGGTGGTTATACTTGAAGAGTAAGTGTTGTGTCAATAAATTGAAGTGCACGTTTTATGCTTGTTCTGTTTAGATTTCTTACGTGAGCCTCATATCTTATTTACTAGGATGATATTGAAACAGTATGTTCAAAGCTCTTGAAAATTCGCGGTGTAATTAGTATTACATTTCAGCTGCAGAAACATCGCGTTCTTGTATGCACGGTACCTTCGTTAGATCCGGAATGCCTTTTACATGCAGTATCTTCAGTTAAAAACAACCCAGGTCAGTCAGATGGTACTTGTCAAACAGATTCGACCCGTCCCACAATCACAGCCCAGATTGTCAGGAAAAAACATAGAGCGTAAGTGAAATTTTTATCGGAACTTTTATAACCACTAATTCATTTTAATATCCATTACGTTTACGAAATGAAATGTTTTCTTATCGTATGTGAATTAATGATATATCTTAGCTAAACAGACCACAATAAGTAAATTTCTGCCTAGTCCAGTTAGATTTCATACTACTAGTTGTAAACTGTTGCCATAAAAATAAAGTCATAATAAGTCATCCATTTGTAACTGATTTACATATGTTGAAAGTTATATTTAAGTCTTATTGACAATAGCACGGGTTTTCCTTTGCATTTATATGCAACTACAAACATTTGATCATTAAGTCTCATAATAGCATCAGCACCATATTCATAAGTGACCATACGTCAATGTACCTTTGTTGGTATCATCTTGTACATTTGTCTATACTAAATTATATGCTACGTTGATAAGCAGTATGAACAATAGTAAAGCGAAATATCTATGTACCATTTCACCCTTCATCACGTGTTAAGGTGTGTGAAAAAGTTCAGCTATTTGTGCAATATAATAAACCAGTTTCAGCGTAAACTTTTCGAGTTCATCTTATTAATTTACTTGAAATCATGAACCTATCTAAGTTAGATCACCATTGAAAATTTGGAAGCACTGAACGGCCAATTCGTCTTAATATAGTATTTCTAAGCACTGCTCATTCACTATCCCGCACGCGAGAGTCGAACTAAGAACCTTCGGTCCCTCGTGAACGCGTACCGCTGAGTCGACATCCAACGGTGTTAATTTTGAACTTCAACCAATCATTTCCATTCCGGTAGCCTTCAGTTTATACTGGCTACAGAAAGAGTAACCCTTTAATGGCTGTATATTCGTTTAATGTAAATGAAATATTTATTGCTGAGTTCAGTAATATCATTGATCAATAAAAAATTTCTGAAAACTTATTTTTATACGTTAATCAACCATTCTTAAATAATATGTTGAAGCCCATAGAAACGCGTTACTTATCTTCATTAATACAGTTACTAAAGCATAAAAACCTCAGTGGTCTAGCTCCGTCCAGAAGTAATTTACAAGCAACTTCATCGATTTCAAAGGTCTGTCCGATAATGAACGCCTACATTGTTATTAAAGATTTTTGTTAACATTTTCACTGACAAATGTTTTGTCAAGTGATAACAAAAGTATAGGATGAAATGAATTCATTTCGTGTATTCTAAATTTTTCACATACAAAACAATTTGTAAATGTTATGTTATATATACCATGAATAAACCCAGTTTACCAGCAAGGAGTAATTATGAATACTTTGCACGATGATACAAATTCAATTTATAGAGAAACAAAATAGTGAGTGAAATACACCATTCTATGTATTTAATTTACATGAGGTTTGGTTCAACTGGGCACAAAAATTTGTAAGCGCTGCACAAGATTTCTGTGTGTGCGCTAGAATACTTCTCGAATACCTAGATGAAAGCTTATATTTCCCTAAGAGGATCACTTTCCAATTTTTTACCAACAAGTATAATCTACAACAAGGCAGTGGAGCAAGGTTAGCAAAATGTACATGTTCCAACTGTCATATGTAATTATCGACTTATTTCGCGTTAGTGAATAGCAATAAAATAAGCCATACAAGAGTGAATTCTGGTTACGTATATTTCATACACCCGTCGATCCAGACAGACAAGGGACACGAAGCGAACAAGAGAAGGCAAATATGTCAACTCCATTTGAAGGAACGTGACTCAGTATTGATAGCTAAACATTTGACGACTAGGATAAGCATACGCTCGTATAAAAACAACCAGGGTTAGTAAGCGAGTAGTTGACAGGGTTAAAATGTTGATAAATAAGCTGATGTATCTGGAGGCTAAAAACACTCGTGGGATTGACATAGTGCTAGACACTACGATGCATCTTATCCCATCTTAACTTTAATGTACTTCTATTTAATATGCGTATGCAGAGGGTTTTTCTTTAGTACCTACCTAGAATACATTAAAGAGGAAGAATGTATTTGTAAAATCTCAGCGAATGAATTTTGAAGTAAATAAATCCTTCCTCTTTAATGTCTCACATTAACTCAGCGCCCAAATACTGTGAAATTATTCGATCAAATTTAGACGAAAGTTTTTATTTATCTACCTAGAATACTCTTTAAAAAGCTGTTTTTTAACTATGTTTTTACCTTCCATTTTTCATAGAAGTCAGTGTTTGATTTTATATTATACATATTGATTCTAGGCAATCCTTATGCAGACACAGTTCATTCAACGGTTTAAAATATAGGCAAAACTCGCGAAATACTGAAGTTCCACCTTATTTAGAAGATGATGCTGATCTCTTTGAGGTTGATGAAACGAGAGCTGCTCCAAAATTAATGGATGCTCCAAGCAAATCAAATCCTTCTAAAGGTCCTATTAGTTGGCTATCAGATTTCCTGGAAAAATCACTATTTTGGTGAATTTAGTACAATATTTCCTGTTTCATAGGTTTCATATTTATGTCAACTACTGTATTTAGAAATAGAAATACAAACTTCCTATAACTTACATTCCCTGTAATAGATCTACAATATGTCAATTGTCGTTTGGTCTCACGAATTAATGCGACTTTCTATGCCAAGATCCCAACCCGACTCTTGATTACCATAATCTGCAACAATAATAAATGATTGGATATTGACATTTGGTGTCGACTAATAGGCATTTTTCTTACTACTCATCAGCTACAGATTTGCGTACTTGGCTTTGAGCTAAACTTTTAGGATTGAGGGTTAGGACTAGTAGTATCACTTACCACATGAAATGTATGAACAGAATGGTTTCCCTGGATTTAGTACCCAGAGGATAAGAATGAAATAAATTTCAAAGTTAGCAATTTATTAGGCAAAGGAAAAAATACTTCACTATGTATACTGATAACAAGCTCAATTAATAATGAACTAAAGAGGTCACAGATCCGAACGAACTTTAAATCCAGGACCTTTAGGTTCTGTAGTCAGTGATGTCAAACCACCTTTCGGTTCGGATGCAAAACGTCCACCTTGTCCGCTTCTAAAATGAAGATAAGTTAGAAAAAATTCAAGTATCCATTTGACTATCAATTTAAGCATGATAGTCAAATCGTTTATGTCAAGCTAATCTGCGAATATTAAAATTATCATACACTAAGACCCAGGCTTCAATATAAACCTGTCATGTATAGAAATGGACGTATATAGACGTATTCAAAAAGGGAGTAATTAGATAACATTTTAATGTCGACTACTTTCCATTTAGTTCAACTGGACGATCAATAAAGAAAGAACAGAACAAAAACTTGAGGTATACAGAAACCAATTTTACTAGCATTTTGAAGCCAATATAGAGTTGAATAATAAGTACTTTTTTACACGGATTTTAAGTCCTGAAACTAAAATAGCAAGACAGGTATAATTTGGAGCCTTTAGAGTGTTGAATAATTTTCAAAGATGCTTCAGCACCTTCATATTTATACGCAAGCGATAAATGAATATCTCAACGTTACGATAGAGTTCAGGTACCAAACTCACTAATCTATTCATATCAATAAAACTACCTGAATCATCTGTTAAATTGTTTTTAATCGACAATTATTTCTCGCTGATTGGCCTCAATCAGCTGAGAAATGTGAGTAAAGACTTAATTTAGCTGTGTTGTACGTTACGAAAAACGTATTTGAAGTTAATGCTGATCAGGATACCTTATCATAATCAGATGCAATTATTTGTATATCTTTGTCTAAGATAAAAAGATCATTTTGCGGATAGTATTTCATGAATTACACGCTGGAGAAATAAAATACGATCGAAAACTCACTAACAGTCAGAAATGATATCTATGTCGTGTGAGTCGTCAGTAAGACTTACAAACTCCAGGAAGGTCCGTGATTTCTTTAACGTTTACCGGCACAAACGTTACCTCACATACTTATAGCCTTGAATGAAGTTGAGAAAACCGTCTTACTTATTCGGCTCAGCTAACATGTCAATTGCCTCTATTTCACGTTATGAGCTAAGCAGATGAGTAGGTGAAAAGTGCGATTTTCTCATTACTTCAGTGGCTCTACGTTTTAGAAACTGAGGAAGTCAATAAAGGATTACAAATTTAAAACGACTTTGATAGTGTGACTTATGTGGAAGAAGTCAGTAATTTTCAAAACGAAAATCGAAGTAGTAATTAAATAATAAACGTCCATAAGATATAATTTAAAACTTACTGTGGGCCAGGTTTTGGTTTTTTCCCAGCTTTTATTTCATCAAGAATACGAACTGTATCCTCTGCTGTTAGATCCTCCTACAAGATAATGTATAAGAGAGTGGGTTACAATTAGAAGTCCATTTTAAATAATTTTGAAATCATACAAAAAAGAAAGGTTATCTCAAAAATTAGTAGACTGACTTTGCCAATGAATAGCAAGTGTTCAAATATTTACGAGACCACTAGTGTTCTCAAAGTTTTGCTAATGGCTTGACAAGCACCAAAACAAGATATAACATTTACTCAACAGTACCTTGAACAACTGGAAATGAAATTTTATCTATGAATAGAACTCCAAATTGTTGTCAACTATGTGAACTTAAGGTTTTGTGTTAATAAGGGAATTTTTAAAGATCAAGCCTAAGGGTGAAATCTGCCTAATATTTTGGCTAGTAAACGAGTAACTCCGTTTTTATAGTTTGCTAATTACTTGAAGTTATTTCTACTAGTTTCATTTTTGGTCGACTTTTCTCTGGAGTTGTGAAATACGATATCTTGAGGAAATGCAATATTATGCTAGGCTAAGCCGATGATATTTTTCATACATTTAGTACATCGAATTGACTGCATTTTACCAGCACTGTGAACTCCCTGAATTAATATACTAACATAATTGTCAGTAAATATTATTAATGGAAACTATGAATGGAATGGCGTAACGCTTATTTGCAAAATCACACTTTAGTAACTTTAGCGACGCTAAAAATCTTCAAGTCCAAATTTTTTGAAGTGAGAGGGACAAGTAATAATTGACATTTCTTGAATTATGACAATCTCCCGACATTTTAATAACGATATGGGATTAGCTAGCGAACATATCTTTACAATATAGACTAGTGGTTCGTGATTAGTTGGGGCTTACGTACTGATTGGCAGTTTTTACTTTCCTCTAGTTCTGTTAACAGCTCAGTAATTCAACCCAAGCAACTGAATCATTAAACTATCCACACAAATTAACAATATACAAAGTTTAAAAAAATTTACATGATCCACCATTCAAAGTGAAAACAACACAACTCTAAACAAAAAAGTGGTGCTTTTCCATCACAGTTTCATTTGGGAACCGAAAAGCGCAGACCATAAAGTAATCTGCTTGACACAACTAGTGCTAACCCTAATTTATTGACCTAAGTTACTTAAATCTATATATTCTAGAGGTCAGCGACTCAGTATTTTTGACTCAATTGATGCTACGAAAATTTAACTCCGTTATCTAAAATACTTGATTTTTAAAAGAAAACTATGGTGAAATCTCGCAGATGGATTATACATAAGTATTTTTTTTCTTAGCAATAGACTTCAATGTTACAAAAATCTGCCTTGAAAAAAGATTTTAAAAACCTACATAATAATCGTCATTAATTTGCATCATGGGCGCATTTACACAAGCCCCAAGGCATTCCACTTCTGTCAGTGTAAACATTTTATCAGGTGTGGTCTGACCCGGTTCAATACCTATGAAACCGAGAAAACAAATATTAGTTTAAATGTAAAAGTACAGGTCACAATTAAGTACTGTGCAGTATAGTTTAAGAGCGATCCGGTTTTCCTCTAGAAAACTAACTTGCTTATTGCAGGCTTGACTGTAATGTGCATATACTATTGGTTTACTAAACAAACGCATTTCAGAAAAATACCTAGGTTAGGTAAATCAAACGATTCCTGTTGTCGATATTATGATTCACGGTAGGAGTCCAGTATAAATGTTAGGCTAGACTTAAAAGAGTACAAAATGGCAACCACATAACTGCTTGTATAGGTCAACGATTCAATAATCCATATCATAAACAATCCTAATAGATTGACACTATTCTATTTACCAAAGAACAAATGGTTTATAAACAACCTACCTTTAAATTCTGACGGCATAGTATATTATTAGGATCCCTATGGCTGTTTAACTATTAACATAAAAAATACAGACTTTGAAATGGGCTGATTTCCCAAGAGATAGGCACCAATGTTAAGCACAATGTTGGTAGAAACGATATATTAAAGAATTTATAGGAAAATGTTACGAAATATAATGACGACATACCAAGTTTCTTCTTGAGTGCGTTTAAAATAACTTCTGACCCTACACCTCCTAGCATACACGGGGTTGTGGTACATATTTGAATGTGATACTTTCCGACTGGTTCCCTGAAAATGAGAAAAAAAGTTCGTCAACAAATTTCTAAGCTACATTACTTAGCGCGCAACATGTCAATTTTAAGTTTAGATCAGTCAGCCACAAAAACCTTGGAATCCGGCACATATCGGCATTGATTCAGGTTTCCATGCCACATTAGTACAGCGAGATGAAATAATGACACGTCAGAGTTGTAAAATTAGCAACAGTATAAGCAGTAGTAAGTAGGTATTGTCATATTGCCACAGATAAGCACGTTAAACTACCGAGTAATACACATAAACTGGTGTTCCTAGATGAAGTATTAAGCGAAAATGTTAACACTGAGAGAATCGGGAACACATAAAATAATGAGAATTGATTATAAAGCGTCAAGTGATAGTTGTGGGAAGGGTGTAGTTGTAGCTTCACTATGTTGACTATCGGGTTACACATTCTTATAGACTTCCTTCTAGTCTTTGGAGATTTAAACACGGGTTTAATTGCACTAACTTATTACATATAGCGTGGTCAGGAAGTAAAGTGGAAGATATACAGAAAAGTATGTCTTGAAAATGTTGCAGGTTAGGGTGTGGGTAGTATTTCAGTTTTACACAGTCATAGTAGAATTACTGGAGCAAATCTGGAAGACTTTGGTTGGAGTCTACAATAAGATTATCATGCAAAGAGCGGGTTGAAAAGCTAGAACTATTTACTTTGTCCTATCGCAGATTAAGAAGTCATCTGATTTTGATGTATAGAGTACTAAGAGATGAATTTGGAACTAACGCATCCTCTCTTTTTTCCACTTGATTGGTACATTTTAGAGGACATAGTAGGTGAATAAAAAGCCAAGGACGAACAAAATACCCGTGGTATACAGGTTTTACACCGAGTCATCAATTCTTGGAACTTGTTACCCGAAGCAGTGGTACCTGTGCCTTCAGTTGCCTCATTCAAGGGAGGAGTGAATACTCACAGAAGCATACTAGAGAAGGAACAACATAGGTCGTAGGTCTTCTGTCCTTATTACACAAATCTGAATATTTGATACTACTGCTAACCTGTTAAACATGGTATAGAATGTGGCAACTTCATAAACCCTCATCTGGGGGACATTAAGAATCTCTGCCACTTTGTTCATAGCGGATATTGGCAGCCATCCTAAATAAAGTTGATATTAATTCAATCTAGCCATTATTACCGTGTTGTCGCTGAGCTAAATCCAAAGCAGGAATTATAGCAGCAGCCTTGTGTGCAGGGGGGTAGTTTGATATTATCACATCTAGTCTCTTTTTGTTTTCTGCAGAAAATTCGAAGGTTGTATTAGAATTGTTTTCAGGGGTTTCTCTGTGCTAACATCGGAATACACAAAAATAAAGTACAACTCACTACAAAGAGGTGGGATGATTGACGTCCAAAGTTTCTAAAAAGAAACTCATCTGACCTACACAATAACTATAACAATAAAACAGATTAAAACTAGCTACCTTGAGTGGTACGGCGCCAAAAGCACGTAAGGCCATAATCCGACCTTGCTAATGATAAGAGATAGCGTACACTTTGAACGGTTTCTCGACCTTCAAATCTGTTAGAATCAAGTGTCTTCTCGTAAACTTCTGATGGCATGTCTAAGACCACTAATTAAAAATGAAAATAAAAATCATTCGCCTTCTGATTGAAATAGATGATACTAAACTCAGTATATTCAATCAGCATTTTGTAGCGGTAAATAAATCCCCAATATAAATAACTCTATAAGTTTTTGACATTGGATGCTGACCACATGTTTTAATGGACTCACCTAGCTGAAGGCGCTCGGTCATGCACCTCACCAGATCACGAGTGGGAACGCTGTGCCCAACATCTACTGCAATCGCTAGCCAGATTAGATCAGACGATTCTCGATATATTGACAGTCAACAAATATATCTTCCAGTCTACTCGATTCTGTCTTTTGATTTCTCTTGGTGGGTACGAGTTACATTAGGTGTTACTGGTAAAAGCGTGGTCAAACAATGAGTACCTGTGCCATCTTCAATGTAAATACTGGAAATCCAACTGATTTTTACATCCCTGGGGATTTCAGTTTAACTTTGGAGAAGACAGGAGGCTTGGTGACTTGTGTTAGTCCCGGCAATGATGGTCTCTCGGTTGATCCAATTTTTTTAAGGCGTCGATAAGTAGAGCTTCAATCACGTATTGAGGTAATGAATTCCATTCGTTGATGATTCGATGGGAAAGTCGATAGTCAACTGACAAGTAATCTGTTCCGAGCTTGTAAACGTTTTTGATGTTCTCACACGTTTTCTGTTTTGGATGAAAGAAAAGAATCAGGGCATATCAGATGCGAATTTATCATTAAGCAATTAAAATCTGTGATCAGGTCGCCTCTGGTTCTTCTATATGACAATGGAATTGGGTTGAGCTCAGCCAGCCAAACATCATACGGAAGCTTAGCTAATCCTGAGATCAATTTAGCTGCATTTCCCTGAATCTTTTCCAACACTGTATACAAAGTCAAAAAGGTTCTGGTATCGACAAGGCTAAAGGTCCTATGTATTGAACATAAGGTTCTACAAACTTTGGTGGCTATCGCATAGTAATGTGTAATAATTTCTAAGTTGTAGTGACTACTTTTATCAAGAGAATGCTATTGGTTTAATGGAAACAATTGTCATTATAGCCGATTGTACCAGTGATTGTTTTACTGTCCTTGCTTGTTTAACTGTACTAAAGGCATCCATTATTCTTCCATTCTTCTTCCCGTTGTTTGTGACCTTGCACGAACTTACGTTTGTTCGGTAAATCCGCTTGTACTCCTTTGGTACGATCTCGGTATTCTTTCGATATCACGAGATCACCAACAAATATACTTAGCTACAACCTTCAATTGCCTTCTGATATTTGGTCACGAGAACAGAATCCAACACCCGGGGTTATTCTTGTTGAGCTACAGAGGATTAAGAGGTGAGTTGATCATGGTATACAATGTATTGAATACGCCGAATCACTCCAACACGAGCATATTATCAAGATATCATCATTAAGCCCCTCGCGAAAACGTCCAAAAAATCGCACATCATAGAGTAAAAGTACAGATATGCTCCCACTTTTTCTCACTAGGAGTTTCTTCCATTTGGAATGCTGTCACAACCAGATTGTGAACACTATCTCATCAGAGTATAGCTTTAAGGGAGACTTGTTAGAAACGTGCTCACTCATGGATTATCATCTCTCACTTAGGATAAATGTGCTTGATGAATAATCGGCAACTTACCTTGTGAGGGTATTGGTTATCAACTACACAATCCTTGGAGTGAAACATACAATAACTGAGAAGATTCATATTCAGCACCAAGCACTATAGAGGGGGTCAAATAAATGGCGAACACATAGAAATTTAATCAGTATGACATGGCTCGGTCATGTCAGTGTGGAGGAAGGGTAATTACCGGCACAAAAGCCTATTGACATCAATAACTCAAATTTCCTCCTATCTCTCGTATTTTCATCTCCGTTTTCCTCTCTATTCTTAAAATTCGGTCTCCTCACACTGTCTGCATCACTAATGAACTAAATTACTGAATTACTTACTCAATTTTTGAGACAACTGCCATCTCATAGTATTTGAATTTTCTCTCTATTATTTTTCACGTTGCAACCAACCAACCTCTTGCCTAGTAGTCTGATAACTGTCAGTATCTAGGATCATCATTGCCTGAGAGCGATGCGCTCACTCAGATTACGAGGTACACAAACTCACAAACAACTACTAAACTGACTTGAAATAGTGCAGTCGACTGGGTAGATACCATCCACTCAACATTACCAAAGACCTTGAGTTGTATAGAAATATCAAGAAGCGATCAGAAAAGTAACATTTTGGAAATGCTACAGGTATTCGGAGTTTGACAACGCTCTAACCAGCAACACCTAATACGAATCGTACCCAACAAGTGAAATCAAAAGACAGAAGTGAGGAGGTTCGAAGATATATTTGATAGGTTATCAATATGTCGACGATCGATTAATCTAGGCTGGCTAGTGATTGTAGGGGATGTTGAGCACGACGTTCCCACTAATGATCTGGTGCTGATGCATGACCGAGCCCCTTCAGCTAGGTGAATCCATCAAAACTAATGTGGTCAGCATCCAATGTCGAAGACTTACAGAGCTATTTATTTTGGGGTTTTTTATCGCTACAGTTTAGTTTATTGAGTTCATTACAAAACTGTTGGATATTTGGCTCATACAAGAAAATAGCAGATAAGCACGGAAGCCAGCTGGAAAAGAAGCAACATAGTCTATTGGCTCTCTGTCCTCAAAGCACAAATCTAAATATATAATCCTGGCTGACACAGGCTATAGATAGTATGGAACTTGATTTCGAGGGTTTTATATTAGTAAGGGCCGACAGAACACAAAAGCGCAAAGGAGAAGGAGTAGCTCTATTCATTAGGAATGCTATCCCATTTACCATTATCGATAGTGTATCCCATGAGAGTGGGACGTGTGAATTAGTTAGTATTCGCTTAAAATGCAGGGGACAAGAGCTGCTGATTGGTTTGATCTATCGCAGTCCAGGCTGTGAGGCAAAATGAGATCCTGTTAAGCAGTCTCAATACTTGGTCCCAAAGTGGTCGATGTCTAATCCTAGGGGATTTCAATGCACCTATGGTAGACTGGGAAAATCTGCGAACTAAATCGTCGGAGAATTCTTCCGAGCAGGAACTAGTTGATGGGGTTATCACATGTGCTCTAGTGCAACACGTGAAAAAAGCGACAAGGTACGATCCGGACACTGAATCATCCTTATTAGATCTTATACTGACTCACTATGAGGATGATGTTGCGAACCTCCATCATATGCCACCCCTAGGTAAAAGTGACCACGCAGTTTTAACTTTCGACTTCCATATAACTGCCAGTCACGAGGACGCGTCAGTCCAGTCCAGACCCAACGTCTGGAAAGCAAACATACCAGACATCATGCACTCAGCATGGTTAATAGATTGGACAATAGACCCAGAGTCCTCCATTGAAACGGCCTGGGACGCATTTCGCAATTCATACTTAAAAGTTACCACACCTCACTTCCCTTGGACTATACCAAAGGGGCCGAAAAACTCACCACCATGGTTCAGTAGGGAGGTCCGTATCCTTCTCCGTAAGAAAAGGAAAATGTGGGATAGATTTAGGTTACTGGGGACTGATGAGTCAAAATCTCAGTATCGAAAGGCTCGGAATACTTGTGCCTCGACCCTCCGTAAGTCTAGAAAACTGTACGAAGGAAAACTTGTTAAGGAATCCATAGAATGTCCTAAACGCTTGTATTCCTATATAAACCAAAGGACAAGGAGAAAAGGAAATATTCCTGCCCTATGGGGAGACAGTACTGCTTCATCATTAGTGGAGGACGACTTTGCTAAGGCTCAAGTGTTCTCGAACTACTTTAGCAACGTATATACCATAGAAGCGCCCTTCCCGTCACTGTATACAGATTCCTCCGTACATACACTGGATAGCGTGACCATTAAAGAACTCGATGTCTTTGGTCTGCTAAATAAGCTTGACACAGGTAAATCCACGGGGCCCGATGAATTACATCCCGGGCTACTGAAGGAATTATCTAACTTCGTTGCAAGCCCTTTAAGTACATGCTTTAACCTATCCGTTACGCAGGGTCGCTTACCGAAAGATTGGAAAAACGCCATAGTAAGTCCTGTCTTCAAAACAGGTACGAAACACAAACCTGAGAATTACCGCCTCGTTTGCCTAACTAGTGTGGTTGTTAAAATCTTAGAAAAGATTATTCGGAAGGAGCTTTTTAAGTATCTCGATGAAAACCGTTTCCTTTCGGAGAAGCAACACGGTTTCAGAATAGGTTACTCTTGTCTCACTAACTTATTAGTGGCTCCTGAAGGCTGGTGCGCTCTTAAGGACCAAAAGTTACCTGTAGACGTAACCTTTATTGATTTCAGCAAACGTTTTGACAAGGTTCCACACAACCGGCTGTTATATATGTTAAGAAATGTCGGGATTGGAGGCAATCTATTTATGTGGATGAAAGGCTTCTTAGTTGGGCGTCAACGAGTACGGGTGAACTCGAAGTTGCCTAGCTGGGGAACTGTGCTTAGTGGAGTGCCCCAGGGTACAGTTTTGGGGTCAGTGCTATTCCTCTTGTATGTAAATGACCTACCTCGTGTTCTAAAATCATCGGTCTTGCTATATGCTCACGATGTCAAGATGTGGAGAACGATAGGATGTGAGGGTGATAGCTTAGAACTCCGAAATGACCTGAAGAAGTTATCTCAATGGTCTCAAACATGGCAGTTGCCGATAAATACTTCCAAGTGTGTTGTGATGCATATCGGTCATCAAGGCACAGATACATACACGATGAATAACACTGAGCTACCTGTCGTCCAGACATATAATGACTTAGGAGTTATCGTTAGTCAAGACTTAGAGACTACTGCACACTGCCGTGCAATAGCCTCCAAAGGTTTTACAACCTTATGGTCAATACGTAGAGCTTTTAGTCATGTCGACGCTAAAACGTTTTTGACTTTGTATACAGTGTTCGTTCGTCCTAAACTTGAGTACTGC